AATTGTTATTCTGGTGGGTGGTTGCCACTCTAGTGCCGCATCCAAGATTAATTATAGATATGATATTTTGCATCGCAGGATAACATCGTGGGTGGTGGCACATAAATCAATGGCTGAGGATATCTGTCTTAAAAAGCCCTCGTGTGTTGCGACGGTCATATATCACTCATCCGTAGTCACCACAGGTGGTTACAACTCCAAATCTAGGTTTATGAGATAATCAATCGGCCTATTTCATAACATAATCTAACATTACTTTCACAGGAAACATCGAATTACATGTGTCCACATATTTAAAGTTCACCCATCCACTACCGAGGGAGTGATAAGCCCCAGTGGGTCGGGCTCAGACATTGGGTGCGGCATTTGGGCGCGGGTCACCACGATTCTGGCGTGGACCAGATCAACAGTGTTGCGCCGGACACCACCCACTACCTGGTCGGCCCGACGGGACTGATGGCCTAGTCCGAACGGCCACTTCGTTGGCGAGGCAGCCTGCGGCTTCGCTCCTATAGCTGAAACTGGCATGCCCCAGTGCAGAGTCAGATTATGAATTTGCCATCAAGTGCGTGCGCCAGCCCCTGCATTTTAGCAAACTGAACAAGAGTCCGGCCGAAAGGCGGGTCTGCAGCAGCTGCTGACATGATTTCGGGTTCGCGATGAAACGGGTCTCGTGGATATGCTCGAGGTCCGAGGCTGGCAGACTGTGCACAGCCTCCAGCGCTTCCACATCACGGTCGGTTTGGCACGCGAATTTTTCGGAGGATACCTCTCCGGCGTGCGCAATTGCCCCCAAATTTTCGGTACTCTCCGGAGCATCCATTTAGGCTCATCTTGACATAAAAATATGCCCCTAGCAGTTTTGGTTTGTAAGAACCTACTGTGTTTTAGCAACATTGCGCGGCGATCCACGGCTGGCGCGGGCGGAGGGCGGCAACCAACGATTCCGCGGACCGCGTGGGTGTGCTGACGTCATTACATTAATGGATCCCCGCATTGCAAATGTGTATAAACACGTCTGTCTAAATTCTGAGTCGATACGGGCTACGATCTCACACATTAAGACATGTTAATTTAAAAAGTTAACTTCTCAGGAAAATTCGAATTTCGGCGTGGTCTTATATGGTCAGCTGTTGACGTAGTACCATGCAACTCATTGCCAAGGGCAAAATATTGTTGAGTCCCATCCACTGTTTTTTTTTTCGGCGCGGACCTTTCTTTCTTAGTCTGGAAAGGTCCGCGTGGAAAAAAACAGTGGGTCGGACTCAATCATATTTTGCCGTCGGCAATGAGTTGTATGGTACTAAGTCAACAGCTGACCAAATAAGACCGCGCTGAAATTCGAATTTTCCTAAGAAGTTAACTTTTTAACTGTGAGGGTGAGGGTGAGGGAATCAGGGTGAGCGCTGAACGCTCCGCATCCTGATGCCGGCTCTTCCCAGCTCTGTTTCGGACACACGGCCGCTCCAGTGCCAAGCGTAAGCCCACACTTGTGGCGGGCGCGCACCCCCTCCAGTTTTGGACACGCCGCCTCTTCTTTGCGCGACAAGTAACCTCTGCTGTGCCGGGCATGCAGCCTCTACTGTGTCAGACGTGCTGCCTCTCCAGTGCCGGACACGCGGCAACTCCAGTGCGCCTACTCCAGTGCTGGTCTTTGCAGTGTCCGACGCGCGGCCTCTCATGTGCCGGAAACACGGCCGCACTAGTGCATGACGGCTGCTCCTGTGCTGGACATGCGACCTCTCCTGCGCCGCAAACAACGTCGCCCTAGTGCTAGAGGCTACTCGTGTCGGGCATCCAGCCTCTCATGTGCCGGCACGCGGCTTGTCCAGTGGCGGACACGCGGCCTTTCTTGTGTCTGACGGGCGCTTCTGTCTCGGAAGACCTGACCCTCTTGTGCCGAACATCCGGTCGCTCCTGCGCCGGGAATTCGACCGTCCGACAGACAGATCAGACAGTTCGACAGTCCCAGTGATCGAAACAGTGGCGCTCCAGTGGCCGTCTCCCTGTCGCTGCAATGAGGCGCTGGCGTCACACGCTCTGCTCAGACATATAACATTGTAAGGGCACGTTACGTCTTAAGGGCGACAAATATATCATGCCTTGATGTATATTTTTACAAGTTCGTGAAATGCAGCTATAAGGTTCAAGGTTCACAGCTGGAAATTCAGCCGTTAGGTTCCAGGTTCACAGCTGGAACTTATGATGTCCTGAAGGTGAATATGCCCATAGCAGGGTAGCGGACAAGTGCTATGAGTGGATATGACATACACGCCGCCCAATTGCTGCTTTAAAAAGTCACGATCTCCTTCCATGAGCGGCCTTGAAATCAGAATTGTGTCAAACACTACACAGGGTCGCTATGAAACAAAAAAGCCGGAGCACTCGAAGTCCAAAATAATCCGGCACTCTTATTAGGCACCTACAAGCCTCTCGCTGTGCCGCTGCGCCTTGCTGCTTGGAAATTCGCACTCGAAAACGGACATTGTGAGTAGTGTTTTCTTCCGATAGCAGTAGGTCTTCGGACCGTAGTGATTCTTGGGGTAGGTTTTTCGGGCATAGGTCTTCCGGCAGCACGTCTTTCGGACTGCTCCTCGGGAAGTGAACGATCCAGCAGCTTGGTAAAGTCAGCCTGCACAATCGCGGGGCAGTCGGGTAAGTGACAGTGAACATCGTTCATCAATAGGCTGACGAAGACCACCGTCCTCAGGTGGAGAAGCGTCGACATGAGGCAGCCTGCTTCCCTAAGTGAAACAGACGAAGGCGGCTTGAAAAAGATTACACGGCGGGGGGATTCTTTACATTTCAGCACTTTGAATACTTTCAGCGTGTCCCTTCCTTTCACCACGTCATTAATCCGGGACCAAGCCTGAGACCCCAGAATCGGTACTACATGCTGTCTACGTAATGAAGAGCACATGGAGGGTATTTTGGACACTGGCGTCGCAAGGCCCCGAGACAAAATTTCAGAGCAATCTTAGGACTTTTAGCTACAGCTCTCAGGAGGGACAGCAGTGAGGGTTCAAGCCAGCGTGAAGTCCTCCGTCTAATGGGACGCAGAGTGTAGGATCAAGGCTGTGGATGTATGACTGCTGCACCAGCACCGAGGTACTTTGGTAGCTTCCTGTTGTTTTGAATGAATCGCTGCATTTTTGACAACACATTGAAGGTCTCCGTACAATCAAATGTAGGAATGTGCTTCTTTTGGAACAGAGGTTGGAAACGTCAAGCAGAAAAGCATTGTGAATGAAAGGGACTGAGTGTGCTGAAAACTAGCGTTTAGCAAATATGCTTTATGGTGAAATGCATTTTGGATCTAAAAGCAAAACGATGATTGAATCTGAATGAAATCAAGGAGACCCAACTTATAAAGCCGTCATCCTATTCCAGTCATGACTTTCTCGTTGTGATATGTTGTGAATTAAAGCGCGCTCAAGTGCACTTATATTTCAGCGCGCTCTAATGGTTCTGCAGTTTCGTGCCACGAACGGCGAAATGAGACGCGAGTGCTTACTGGGATGCTTTCATGAAGATAGTGTTTCTTCATAAGGCTACAGTCTGGTTCAAAACATGAGGACGTAGATGTTTCAGGTAGTGGGGATATTAAGGGCCTGTGAAATTGCTTTTTGAATCCACAGTTGTCTGATCGTTCCAGGAGAAATAAATTTAGAAAATATTGCGGCCAACTTCGACTAAGCACGCAAGGCTGGTATGTGGTGTTCATGGTCAAGCATACAGTTTGAATGCAGGAACGCTGATATACATTATGAAGGATGAATATCAGGGAGGGAGACGAAAAGCGGACAGGGAACGATGAAAAAAGTGAAAAGAAATTATCCATTTCGAAGGTCACAAACCTGGGCTCAGTTGCTCATACACCAAATTATCTTTAGATATGTGTGGGCCATCAGAGAGTGGCATTGCAGCATAACTTTTATACCAGTATGGCTGTCAGGCTGCAAGACAGTCTGGATTGTTGCAAGTAAGCGCAGTGAGGCATTTCGGGAAGCATCCATAAGGCATTTCTTAAACCATTTAAATGAAGTAACACAAATTTTAACAATTATGTCGTGATAGCTGCAACATCTGACATTCTGCGTGGCTCTATTGGCCAGTTTCATCTTTTTTACCGGCCAGTTTCGCCAATCTGACAATTGTATAACTACTTGGTCGGACTTTTGGGAGCGAACTGCGGCCACCAATGTCCATCCTTTTAGACGAGCTTGCTGGTTGCATCGAATCCACGTATCCACGTCGCTGATGCCCGTTGGCAAAAATCTGCACAGACTTTTTTGTTAGCACAGAAACATGGTTACAACACAATGTGTGCATGCGTATTTTGCCTAAGAAATTTATTTTCGTTTCGTTACACGAAACACACGGATTTGTAAAAGTTTGTTGCATCTCCGACAGAAAATCCCTTCTTGTCAATTGATTACGCCTGAAATGATTCCGAAAATGTGAGTGCGTCCTCTCTGCAAGACAAAACAGGGCTGACTGATTTGCAGACGTAGGCGACACGGCGAGAAAATCTGGCCGTTATTGCTTTGTTGCTTGTGCCTCTGGCGCATAACTTTTTGACTCACTTTTTGTTTGAAGTGTCTGGCTGCTGGGTAATGCGGCACAAATAAGATTGTCTCGTCGCTTGGTATTGCGATACAAGCCAGGTGGAGAGCAGTCCTGAAGTTCACATTGATTGAAATCCTGTTTGGTTGTTTTCCGAGAATGCTTCCCCACTCCCGACGGTGGCTTGATACTGGGATCTTCCACAGTTGCTCTGAATAAGTGTTCTGGTCTATCCGATGGCAGGACACAATCAGGTACGGGGAAAACACGTCATCACTATCGGCTCCACAAGCAATGATGTGCAACAACCGTACGAGCTCACGTCGACGTAAGAGCGGGAGATAACACACGCCGGGTATATATGGGTCTGGTGTGAGTGATCTCGGCATCAGTCGCTACAAACGAATCATTCCGAGCTGAGTGAAGCTGCAGTGTGATTCCAACTCAGCGAAGCCTGAAAACGGGTCGGCGAGCGTGATGGACCTGACTACAGTGAAACGGTAAGTGAAGTCGTTCAGTAACGGGATCCGAGCGAGTACCGTGGATTCATTTGTTGATTGCTGCGTGGACTGGCAGCATAAGAATGGTGCGATGGTGGCCAACCATCGTGGTTAAGTAATGTTCCGAAATATGTGAGAACTAATAATGTTTGGTATGAGCCATTCAGTAGGTGCACATTGTCAGAACATGTATTTGGCACAGGCTGAAGGCTTTCACAATTTTGACGCTTGAAAAAACACTTTTTTCATTTCTTCAACCACGTTTTACTATCCTGTGATATGGTCCCGATTCCCGGCCTTCTACGTAGCATGCCTGCTACTTTGTGCTGTAGATCGTAAAGGTTCTGAAGCGCATGTTAATAAGTAATAGGCTTAAGAAGCATTTGTGTTTTAATCCAGCCTTTTCCTAAAGTGAGCACGAGAGTCTTATTCTAAGGCGTGTTTTAGTGACACAAACAAATCACACGCGTGGCGAATGTTGCACTTTTGCGCTTTGTCTGCCGCACTGACGCTGCGTGCGAACATGTGCTGACAGTGCATGGTTCTTACCTTCCAGTGTGCTTGAGGCGTAAAATGGCCACGCAATCTACAGAGCCGTAGGCACCAAATGTCGCTGCCCTTCCCAAAACAAAGCGTCGGTGTTCAGGTCAAAACTTCGCCGAATTTTTCCATTGTATTAGTATACATCATATCGCAGGAACATGAAGGCCATTAAACTCGTCGAGAGTTTTCAACATTTTCTTCACATCTAATGTCATTATTTTGCAGCTCTCGGCGAAGCGTGTTAATCAAGACAGTCTGCTTGTGTCATGCCTGGTGCACATAAGTAGAAAGTGTGTCATGGTCGATCCGAGCTGCATGCCCGGCCCATTTCATAAGCCTCTTATCACAAGGTATCAACTCCTCAACTGTTTCAGGACCATGTGCCGAGTCGGTTTGCTGGTGGTGCTGGTCTTCTCGGCGGCATCCGCACACCCCTCTCCGCTGCGAGCGCCCGTGTCCGAGTGTCCGCCGGATACCCCGGACGGTGCGCGTGTCTTCATCGCCAGCAACGAGAGTTGCACCGACTTCTACATGTGCTCCCACGGCGTGCCGTACAAGCTCACCTGTCCGGGCGAGCTGTACTTCAACGTCGTCACTGGTCAGTGCGACTACAGACAAAACGTCAACTGCACGGTGCCGTCAGCACCGACGCGGTCGCCGGACTCGACGACCTCGAAGCCCGCTCCCACTGGGCTTCAGCGGCTTGTGCTCGCTGAGCTCGAGCTGGAGGAGCTCCAGCGGTGTCCGGAGACGGACGGCCCGTACCCGGTCATGTTCCCCAACCCTGACGACTGCTCCTCCTACTTCATGTGTTCGCATGGCGTCGAGAAGCTGAGGCCGTGTCCGCCAGGGCTTTTCTTCAACAACGACACCTGGACGTGCGATTTCTCGTGGAGAGTGAACTGTACGCAGCCGACCGAGTCGCCAGACAACAGTACAGCCCTGAAGGATGTTCCCGCGCTCCAGACTCTCCAGCTTGTTTCTGACGTTCCCAGCGGATGTCCCGAAGAAGACGGGGTGTTCCCGGTCTTTCTTCCCAATCCCGACAACTGCGGTTCATTTTACATCTGCAGTCACGGCATTCCCTACCTGGAAATATGTCCTCAGGGTCTTCTGTTCAATAACGACACATGGAGCTGTGACTTTCCCGCCAATGTGGATTGCAATCAAACCAGTAATGCGGTGGTTCCAGAGCCGCTGACACTTGATATGGAGGTCGCCGACGTCAGTGGATGTCCGGATGTTGACGGAGCGTATCCTGTCTTCCTCCCCAATCCTGCCAACTGTTCGACATTTTACTTGTGTAGTCATGGGGTTCCTTACCTGCAAACTTGCCCACCGGGACTTCTGTTCAGCAATGACACGTGGAGCTGCAATTTTCCGCAGTTTGTAGACTGCGCTCAAGCGAACGATATCCTAGCTCTAGAGCAAATTGATGATGTTTCAGAACCCAACGGCCAATGTCCCGAAGTTGATGGAAAGTATCCTGTCCTGCTACCCAACCCCGCCAATTGCTCAACTTTCTATATGTGCAGTCATGGCGTTCCGTACCTCAAAGCCTGTCCTGAACACTTGCTGTTTAATAACAGCACATGGACCTGTGATTACTCTGACCATGTGACCTGTGTATAGTTATATGACCTGTGTGTGACCTCTCAATAGTGGTTGAGAGCTTAGGGCAACTGCGTCAAGCTTGTTGACAGTGTCAAATGCCAGGCACCATACCTGAATCACTGTTCAAGTGATAATATGTTGCAGTTCCGTTTTTGGCTGATTTGTGCATCGGTAATGGTTGATTGTTGATAGCGTGCGGAATGTTATTTATGCCGAGTGAAATGTGTTAAGGCTATATATGAGGACCTTTTGCGAATACATGTAGTACCTACCTATGTTCTGCATTTTACCTCGAAAAGCTTACTTGTGTGCAAAACGGTGCACCATATCGGGGGAATGGACCGGCCTCTAAGAGAACAAGCCGCAGCAGACCTCCTACCTCCACTCGGGGCTGCGTTACCCCATTTGTCCTTCATTCGAAACAAAGCTAGTGCTTGCGCTGGGTAGGAAGCCATCCGAGGGCTCTGGTGTCCACCTCCAGCCTTATCGGCGAATAGTCCACCCGCCACGTCCAGGAGCTGCGTGACAAGTGAGGGCATCCGTGCGCACGAGCTTTTCAGTCAATGCGCGCCGGGTGGCCGGTTGGATGCTCTTCGCTCGGGTGGGGGTCAATAAGCCCCTCTGAAATGTCAGAAACCAAGAGAGCTGGTGACATTAAATTCATAGGGTGTATTAGCCTGTGCGTGAACTCATTTAGGTCAAAGTTTGAGGTTCACAGGTTATGATCTTTTGGTCAATTAAGGTCAAACAAGCCCAACTCCAGGTTGGTCTCCAAAGTATCCCGGAACCTAGATAACTGTTCTGAGCAAAAGGTTATGCACTCATTTAAGGTCAGTGACCTTGTTTTGCCTTCTGAAGGCCATAGCGACCAAAATTATACAAGACTGCTCTGAGTTTTGCATTTGAATGAGCGACAAAGATTGCGCCAAGCAGTATGTTCCTAAAGACCCAAATGTTGACCTGGATCATGTTCAGTTGGTGACCTATTTTGATCTTAAATATGTCCATTGAAGATGTATAAGACGGTTTCTCTTATCAATGAATTCGAAATGAGGCCAGAAAATATCAGCATGCAGCAAGCCCTAGAGTAATAAAGTAGGCTGGTATTGACCTTCGGTCTGAACTTCATACGTGACCCTCGGTTGCATGGTTTCGTCTAACATGAGATTGAACGATTGAACGATGAGATTGAACGATTCCCTCGGCACTGACTTTCGGGAATCCATCACCTGACCCTTACCTGCCTTAGGTCAGTGACCTTTCAGGTTGCGTCTTAATTGTTGATACGAAATAATCTGCCATTCAAATGTCAACAGCCGTGCAAAGTTTGTCGCGACCACGCCACGTCGTTCTGAAACCATTCCGGAAAAAAACCTTTGGGGATTAAATTGACCTCCGCCCGAACATGTGTTAAGAGCACACAAAACAACGCTGGTAAACCGCAGAACTGGCACACAGTAGTGTCAATGAGAACAAAGCGCAAATAAGCTTTCCACGGCAGCTTGATATGAGTTCCTAGAACGGTAGAGTGCTTTGGTTGCAAGAACAGTTTGTTTTATCCCAAAATATGCGAACAACCGAAATATTTCTACGTCCTTGCTTTATTCCTGTCGCCCTGCTTTGAACTAGAATAATCCTGACCAGAGAGACGACTTTTGCGGCATAGCACGATCATGTTAATAGCAGACGAAAGTGTTGACATGTAGCCCCAGGGGCTCACACAGGAATTTCAAAAGCATTATTTTCGACCTCGATTGTCTGCGTGAGAACGGGTCATGGGGCGCCTTTGAAAGATAGCAGATAAAGATACACGGTCTTTTCTTTACGAACCTTCCCTTGTCATGCCTTGGTTTGATGTGTGGTCAAATTGAAATGAAAAGATCTTCTCGAACACGTGTTGCAGGTTCTTGCTCCAATGCCCAGGCCTCCCATTCGGTCGAGAGGGGGGGGGGGGGGGGAGCACGGAGCCCGCATGACTGTGGTGTGGGCTTTTGTGTAAACATTATTTTTCAGTTGGCCCAATCCAATTAAGGGCAGCATCTGGCCGCTGCCGTTGCGAAGCATTGCGAGCACAGCATAGCATAGCATTTTGCGTAACATTGCGACTGGCAGCCGCGAAGGACAAGAGTTAAACGGAAATGATGCTCATGTGTGCTTGTCAAGGCTACAAACACGGCATTACTTAATCGTCTATAACACTGAATCGCAATATCTATGCTTGTCCCCGCTCTGAAATGACGATAATTGTTGTAAAACTCATCGCTATATATATACATATATATATATATATATATATATATATATATATATATATATATATATATATATATATATATATATATATATATATATACATATATATATATATACATATATATATGTATATATATATACATATATACATATATGCATGCATATACGTATTTATACTTATATAAGTATGCATGAGAATCTTTAAAGCTACGCTGTTCACCGTAGCCAGCTAAAAGCCTTGTGTGCAGGCATCAACAGCCGCACTGCAGCGGGCCTGCTGCCAGAACGCTGTTAACATCCATTTGCAACGAGTTTACCTAATCGAAATGTCAGGCCGCACCCGGTGGACAACCTGAATGCAACGCACGCCCTGGCACGGCAGCCATTTTTCAGACGAAATTCACGTGAAGAGGGTCCCGTAAAGAGCTTCCTGGCGAGTCATGGTCAGCAGGGTGAAGAGGGAATGGCAGGCTTTCGGGCGACTCATGCATCGCATACGTTCAACCTAATGCGTGATGAATTGTTTGACCCGCTCGATAGTTCGCATCACTGGCTGAAAGGCGCGGCGGTCGATCCTTCGCCACACGTCGTGTGGCGTGTCCCTGCATCTTAATGTGTTGCCTTTGAATGTCCAGTAATGTGCAAGCGTAGCGACAAGTTCGAATAACAAAGTATAAACCTCTGAGGGCCCGGCGTCTGGCGAGGCCTGTCGCTTGATGATGTAACCTGGCATGTGGCATGACCTGTTAAGTCGGGTAGCCCTCCGCAACCCGGAGCTCTGTCAGGGGGGCCTGGCAGCTTCAGCGACGCTTTTGCAGAGACGAGAACAAGTCTGCCTTGTTTCGTGACATGACAACATGTGTTCATTAAATGCTGACATGGACTGCACTTACACCTTTTGTAGCTTGAAGGCAGGGACTGATCCAGGATTTCATCAAGGGTGGGGGTCAGGCGGCGTTGCGGTGCCCCCTGGAACTCGTTGTCCGCTCTTTCACACCCACACAAAAGTGCTCTCGGATTTCGGCCACTTAAGTTTCAGTTTTCATATCTTGAGTCGAGGAACTACCTTTTTATGTGCACTGTGGAGGGCTAAACATAACACCCAGGTACATGGAGCGTGTTCATTTTCTCCTGTGACTGGTGGCTCCCGCAACTCTCAAGCTAATTTTTTCGGAAATGTGGCAGAGTGGGTTAAAATTGGCTACAAAAAAAATGACCAAAGTCAGACATGATGACATGAGCCGGATAACTATAGGTAGCGCACGTAAGTTAACAATCGGTCTATTGTTAAGCCATTTAATGACAGGTCTACTGTTAACTTACCTGGACACCTCCAGCAGGGAGTTGCATTTCAAATCCTTGTGTTGACAGCAGAAAGCCGTAAAGCCACTTCACTGCGTCAGCGTTTGGTGCTTTTCATGTTTTTCGGGACATTTTCCTGTACGTCCAGCTCGCTGGAGCACGCAAGATGTTTCGTATCGATAGCACGGACAAAAAGTCACTTGTGCAAGCATATCGGTAAAACGGGTCCATCCCACGCTTCTGAATTGTGTCTTCTTTCCACGGTAATCACTGACCTTCAACAGCTAAGCGGACCCCCGCACACCTGTTAAAGGAGAAGGAGCAGCCATATAACAAACTAACGTCATTTGGTATGCGTTGTTTTTAGGTTCATTGTAAGATTGGCAGGGTGTGGGCGAACATAGATTACAAATAATGATTTTAGCGCCCCCTTCTCCCATTCATTTGGGATCGTTGAATCAAACCGGGTCGAATTAGATCGGATCGGTTCGGATCGGATCGGACCGGGATTGGAGCGGGTCGGATCGGGATTGGAGCGGATCGGATCGGGATTGGAGCGGATCGGATCGGGATTGGAGCGGATCGGGATTGGATCGGATCGGAGCGGGGCGGATTACGTGCGTCGGCCTGTAGCTGACACATTGTACACACGCGAGCCTATGTACACGAGCTGAAGTTGACTTTTCTCTGGACAGACACGTCCAGGACTTTCTCGGTTGCAGGAGCGAGCCCCGAGCGAGCGAGCGGCCTGTGCACCACAGGAAGGTTCTTGCCCGGGCCTCCCTGTGGGCTTCTCCTTGGTCTTAGCCTTCAATTCCCGATCGCCTTCAGCAGTCTGTTCGGCAGTCCCTTCCGTTCCGTTCCCATTATTATACGCACCACCCAGCGACCAATGTCCAGCCAGGCCACGCCGAGGAAGCAGCCCGTGATGGCGAAGCTGCATCCCGCCGTCTCTTGCAGCCACCCGTAGTCCACTTTCCCGAGCTTGGTCGCCTGGGTAGGCAACAGGACGCCGACGTCCATGGCGCGTCTCGTGTGCTTGCTGATCTGAGTGACCAGCTGCTGTAGGGTACCGTTCGGTATTGGTGCGCATGCGGCGCTTCGTAAGAGCTCCTCCGGCGCCTCGGCGTCGTGATTGCCGCGGTGCACCTGGCGGCCATTGCGCCGCTCGGGTTGCACATCGGATGTCGGGATGCCATGTGTGGCAGCGCCCTCTCGAACTTGCTTGAACACCATGCTGAAGCAGATTTCCTCTCCGTGTTACGGTGCCGATCGAACAGCCCACCACACGCGCAGTGATGAGCGCATCTTGGTCTGATACGTGAAGCCGCGTCGAGAATGGTCTTGTCATGGAGCCGACATCAGTCGCCACATGGAGATAATTTAGAAACTCAACAGTCTTCACGGACGCAAGGGTTTGGTTGGCTTGGTCGACTGTCGTGGAGTCGGCCCGCTTTGTTAGAGCATCCACAGCCTGGATGACAGCATGTGTCAGTTCGATGAAGCGGTCTAGCGCGTTATGCTGTTCCATCCACCGGGCCTCACAGCCGCGCTTCAGACTCGCCTTTTTGTTCGGAGTTTTGTTGGGAAGCTTGGCCACCGCCTTCAGGATAAAGCTCCTCTTCGGGGTTTGGAGGCAGTCGGCCACCTCTTTGACGAACGCAAGCATGTCCCGGACGCATTTCTGTTTAGAAATCATTTTGACACAGAGGTTGAGTGTATGAGCTACGCAGAGCATGTACCCGGCGAGCGGGAATTTCCCCAACACCACTACTGACGTACCCTTGGTTGAGGACAACATATTTGCCGTCCTGTCGCACCCCTGGCCGGTGCACTGCTTCATATTCAGACTGACGTGATTGCTGGTGGCCATGGTGGAGGATCCCAGTGCCTCGTCTGTGGGTGTCAGCTCCACAGCTGCCGATGCGAAGCTGTGACATGCTCGAACGGCTCATCCTGTTTCTGCTGGTGTACTTCGGTGATGGCATCGGCAAATTTGTGGAGGGTACGAAAATGGTAGGTGCACCTGGGGAATTACGGATTTTACATCATAGTGGGTATGTGGATTACAATTCAATACCAGCTTTCAGTTTCCTTTTAAACAGCAAATGTCCAATAATCAAAGGCTGCAGACACGTGATGATCAAATCACATCCTAATCCGGCTTTGAAGGCACTGGGCAAGGAAGGCACTGCACGCGCTCGGCCAGTATTGAGGGAATAATGTCAGGCAGTCATCTGGAGTCCTGGCAGCGTCGCACTAGTTTTGTGGCAGTGCAGTGCTGCCGATGTGAGGTAACTTCTGTGAGATAAAAATTGGGCATATTGGCCCCTTAGTCAGAAAAAGATGTGAAGAATATATTTTCCCGCAGGAATATTGTTAGAATAGGAAGGGTGCCCCCCTTTCCGATGATTGAGAGGAGAGGCGCACCCCACCCCCCACCTCACCCCCCCCCCCCTACCCCCCACCGCTCGCTGCCGCCGCCCCTGGCTGTGTCACGAAACATTTTTGGTCGTAACTTGATGATATTATATTTCATCAATTAAAACAATTACGGTATTTTTCTCCATAAAAACTTGGGATGAAGACAATTATACATATCTCTTCTCTTTTCTATGATCGAGCCTGCGTCCTGCCCGGCCTTTAACTCGTTTTTTTTGTAATTTAACTAATACATTCAAATATCCATTCCACTTCACTTGTAGACAAACACTGCGCGCCGGTTACATTGGCTGGCGAAATCATTGTTCCATGTTCTATTCTACTCTGGTACCTTTGAAGCCTTTGGATGAATCCGTGTTATATCGGCTGTGTGCTTCGCGCATTCAGTCCGCGCCGTGGGGGTGCGTTGTAACACATTGGTTCCGATAGCGGGAAGAACTCAAGTTGAATTAGATGGTAATCACATCAAGATCGGAACATTGGATACTGTTCTGAGCTGCCGCTATGATGTTCTCATTAAATAGTGCACTGACTTACTAAGGCGTATTGAAAGTATTAGAGGTTTACTTATTTCTAGGTTAGAATGGTGGTGTATGTACAAATTCTGAGGATATACAGCTTTTGGTGCTTTTGGCTGCTTTTAAGTTCAGGTCCTGCTCAATGTGGTTTTTTGTATTTTTCCAAAAGTCTTCTAATTTTTATCAGCCTTGGAGCCTAAAATTGCATCTTATTACATTAAGCTGTATAACATTGCTTATAGCTGATTGTCTTGCAATATTGCATTGCAGCTTACTTATTTAGAATGTTTCATTGGCCATGCATGCAAGATCAGTAATGCATGAAAAGTGAAGTAGTCTGCATTTTCCATTCACCTGTGGCTACTCACTTTGGCCAGTGCTCTAGTGCTTGGGGCTAGTGTGACCTTTTCCATTCCTACCATCTTACATGATATGCCCATGGTGGAAATTACGTGTTCCGAGTTCATTTGCACACAAAATATACACAACTGGCCTAGCATGTCATCGTGCTTAGCCTGCCTTATCACCACAGCATTATAACTCCAGTTGAACTAATGCATTTTGTCAAATGGTTTGATTCACATGATATTGTCATGGCTTGGCTGCTACTAATAAGATGGCATTTTCAGTATATGTTACAAAAATCTTGCACATTATGGAAAAGGAAATATGTTCAGTTAGGCTGTATATGGAGATAATGATCTAAGTTGAAGCCTTGTGTTTTGGGCTTCAGATATATTATTAGATTGTTTTAATATGCAACTGCCAAAATATAAGTGACATATTCTTTAAAATATTTGGGCTCAAAAAGGGCAGTTTCCGCATTTGACTGTAGCCTTTGTGCTGTTCTGACCCCAATACTGGCAATGCATGAAGTGGCTGAAGGCTAATGTTTTCCCCCCTTCATCCCCTCCTCCCTCAGTCAGTGATTTATGGCAAGTGGCATCAGTCAATGATGGGTTATATCAACAGTTCTCCACATTTGTGCAAAGGTAACATATGACACTTCACCGAGTTCCTTCCTCCATTCTCTCCAGAAATGGCCAGCTCGGGCTTCGGTGAGGCGTTCGGGGGCCTGAAGAGCTCCGAGTTCTACGAGTCTCCGCCCCCGGCGGCAGCGGCGAAGCCCGCGCCGGCGAAGCAGTCCGGCTACAGCATCCTGGTGAACCCGCGCCAGCGTGGCAACCCGCTGCTCAAGGCCATCTGCACGGTCCCGTGGGAGTTTAGCGACGTGGCGCCCGACTACGTGATCGGCGCCAAGGCGTGCGCGCTCTTCCTGAGCCTGCGCTACCACCAGCTGAACCCGAGCTACATCAGCGAGCGGCTGCAGGCGCTGGGACGCGCCTACGAGCTGCAGGTGCTGCTCGTGCAGGTGGACGTGCGCGAGCCGCACCACATGCTGAAGGAGCTGACGCGCATCTGTCTGCGCTGCGAGCTGACGCTGATGCTGGCCTGGAGCGCCGACGAGGCCGGCCGCATCCTCGACACGTACAAGGCGTACGAGCACAAGTCGCCGGAGATGATCATGGAGCAGCAGGCGGGCAGCGCGCAGGAGCAGCTCAGCGACGCGCTGACGTCTGTGCGCTCCGTCAACAAGACAGACGCCGCCGCGCTGCTGGCCACCTTCGGCTCGCTGGAGCGGCTGGTGCTCGCCAGCCAGGAGCAGCTGTCCCTCTGTCCGGGCATCGGCCCCGGCAAGGCCAAGCGGTTGTACGACGTGCTGCACATGCCGGTGCGCAGGACGGGGAAGAGTTGAGACGGGCCGCGGCGTCGCTGCGGCTGGTGTGGCGCATGCGGCGGGCGGGAGCGGCTCAGTGTGGGTGGGCGGTGCCCTGCGCGGCGCCGAGTCGGTTCGGCGATCCAGTCTCGGTGGTCCGTTGTCAAGGAGTCGCATGGACGCCGCGCCTCGCCCATGCTTCCCTTGTTGACAGTCACGCATCATCACGTACAACGCGGTATGGTTGTTCTCAGATGAAGCCTCGTGTTGGTCTTGGAGGCGATTTTATTGCTCGTCTCATGAACATGGTAGAACCTATTTTTGGCTGGCATTTAGACCAATATGGCCAGTGGTCTTGTATTTTTTGCTGTGTTACTCTGAAATACAGTATGTTTTTGTACGTATATATCAACCTAACGATTCTGGATAGCAGCGGCGCGCACAAAACGACGCTCCTCAAATCGCAGGCGGAGTGGGAGTGTCGCGTGCAACACCCGTGTTTTTTTTTTCGCTGAGGGCCCGCAGGAGAGACGTTGAACAGACGACCAAATTTACTGGTCTTCTTTCCGGACTGCGTCACGGCTGAGGAGGAGCCACCACTCTAGCCTACATCCTCCCCGCATGGACTATTGTGATCCAAACTGTCGGGGCTACATCAATGTCGATATAGCTATCCTTCAACTTCTTTGTGATAACGGCAAACCGCATGAACAAGCGTCGAAGCTGCTTGCACAGCTGACGAACATCCCAGCCACACGTAGAGCAGCCGCGAGGTGCGAGATAGTGGTTAAGTCCTGCCCCCGCTCATCGAGCAGTGCAGCGTCACGTACCATCCAACAAGGCAACATGGAATATGTCAGAGTTGTATTGGCAACGCTCCGTGCACGCAGCGCAGCTGCACGCCTGACACACCCGCTAATGACACCAAGATTGCATATAAAATTATCGTAATTCAATTCCAGCACACGTAACCGGACCCTACCAACCACTCCAATCTTTCGCCACCAGCAGCCCGCCGCTGAGCGGCCAGCGCGGCTCCCATTCATACCCGGCGCCAGACGGGCCTCAACGGGACAGAGCGGGGCATCCCCGCGTCGCCGGCGCACCCTTCCAGAGGAGTGGGCCGGCCAACACGAGCCTCTGCCGCACAGCGCGAGTCGATGCCACGCCTGGCGCGCCACTCACGGGAGCAAGACGTATCACAAGGTCCGACGCACGTCCCAGCAGCGCCTGTTTCGGGCGTCACCACGGTCCGAACGCCAGCGGCATGGCCGCTCGCGCCTCCCGGGGCGACCAGCCCGCCCTCGTCCACCCCACCGTCTCGCGGCGACCGAGAGCGCCGCGTCCTCCGACCGGCACGCTGCCGGCGCCTCCTCCTCCTCCTCCACGGCGGCGGCGGCGGCGGCGGCGGTGGAAGCCCCCTCGTGGCTCCGAGGGGCGGCGCGGCCGGCGGCGGCTGGCCAGCCTACATGCCAGGCGGCGTCGGCACGCTGATGCCCAACTCGCGCGCCACGTCCGACTGCGCCTCGGCCGCGTCCCGCAGAGAGAACAGGTGCGACAGCTCCGCCTCCGTCTTCGCGAACGGGATCGCCTTGTCAAACAGTTCCATGGCGCGCCTCAGGTTACCCCTGGCGGGAACGAGCGTGACGTCACGCGGCGGTACAACAGAGCCCTTGGGGCACACCCGAGACTGGGTCACGTGATGGCTGGCCACATGGCCAAATCCCGTGACTGCGGGAAAACTGCCTCCTCTTTTCCCGCTGACATGAGGTTTGTACCTCCCCCTCCCCCATTTCAATGGTACAACCCGTCTAATGCACGATTTTATAGCCCTCTGATTTCAAGATACCATCTCAGATACGGTTGTCCATCAAAATCTCAACGGTGGTTACACCGCCCTGAATGCAAAACATACAGAACAAAATCAGCCTCACCCACATCGAGAAGCACACATGCGATTAGGACAGCCCATTACACCTAGCCCAATCATTCTTTGTCTGTCATGACTGTGTCATGGCTCTCACCCAGCAATCACAGCAGAGGTGCCACCCGAGCAGAACACCCCACTCCCCGGCACGGCTTACCCCGAGGGGCTAGGGCCGCACCGAGAGCGCCGACGCGCGGCTCAGTGGCCAACCACTGACCCCGGCGAGCCGGACGGCCGACCGCGGCCGTCCCACTAGAGCTCCTCCGGCCCCTCCTACCCCGGCCCCTTCGGCCCTCCCATCCCAGCTCTTCCCGCTCCTCTCAACCCGGCTCCTCCGGCCCCTCCCACCAGAGCTCCTCCAGCCTCTTCCGAGCGTGCTCCTCCGGTCCCTCCCACCAGAGCTCCTCCGGCCCCTCCCGAGCGTGCTCCTTTGGCCCCTCCCATCAGGGCTCCTCCGGCCCCTCCCACCACGGCTCCTCCGGCCCCTCCCACCACGGCTCCTCCGGCCCCTCCCACCAGAGCTCCTCCGGCCCCTCACAACCGGGCTCACCGCTGCACTTCGATAGTGCCGAGCGTCTCGTAGGCGAACTCGTTCTTGTCGTCCAGCTCCAGCGAGCGCGAGATCAGCTTGGTGGCCTCGTTGACGTCCCCCTTCCACTGGAGCTGCAGCAGTCCTGGGCGCGGCAGAGCCGTCAGAGTAAGTCATACCGGCCGACGCCTTCGGTGGTGGGCCGACTGCTGTGTTACTGTACTGCGGGGGAGGGGTTGGGGGGGGGGGGAGGCCACGCTCCGGTCGCGTGCAGCCCACAGACGAGTATACCGACACATGGAAGCGTGGGACCATAAACGCGATCGCCCGTAGTCAGGGAAGGGCCAATCAACTGCGGACATGAAGTGTTCTGCGGTGGCAGCCATCCCGATGCATGCATGCGCAGTGGCTCACAAGCAAAGCGCGTGTCCGTAGACCGCTAGACCGACCTCTGTGGACGTAGACGGTGGCGCGGTCCGGGTCGACATCTGTGGCGCGCTTGAACAGCTGATCCGACTCCTGGAACCGCTCCTGGTCGGCCATCACCTGGCGACACAAAGAGAGCACGTGGCACGCTGCGTCGGGAGAGCACGTGGCACGCTGCGTCGGGAGAGCACAGTGGCACGCTGCGTCCGGAGAGCACATGGCACGCTGCGTCCGGAGAGCACGTGGCACGCCGCGTCGGGAGAGCACGTGGCACGCTGCGTCGGGAGAGCACGTGGCACGCCATGTCCGGGGCCGACCGTGTGGCGGCGCTCGCCGAGCCCGCGTGACGGCCGCGCGCGCTGCAGTCAGCCGCAGAAGCCGCAAGCTCGGCTTCAGCCAGCCATACGCCATCACGTGCGGCAGCAGGCGCACTCCTGCGCGTTCACCGCGGCCGCGGCGAGGTCGTCATCGCCGCACGGTGCCGGCGCAGGTCGACCATGGATGTTGGCGTGCCCTAGACCCAAGCCGTCGCCAAAAAAAACACGCTGTCTTCCGCCCAGGATAATCATAATAATGACTGGGGTTTTACGCCCCACCGTCAGCCAGGACCATTTCGAGACGGAAGCCTTTATCAGGCAGCATGTGAGACGCTGTGGCCTGGCAGGGACTCGAACCCAGGACCCGCAGGTCCGGAGCCGGGGACCTGCCTGCGCAGTCGTTCTCTCCCGACAGGTCATGTCACGCCGCCACGGCTGGCGTGCGCCCGCTCACCTGCGCGTAGAGAACATAACACTCGGAGCAGTCCGGGAAGCTGGCGATCAGCTTCTCAAACTCCTCGTTCACCGCCATCACCTTCTGTCTGTTCTGAAACCAGAGCACACAGCTGTTGCAGCCCGCCTGTCTGGGCGCGTGAGGAGACTACTCGAGTTGCCCCGACTAACAGGGGCTCACACTGTCAAGTACGAAAGCGCCCGATAGAGCCGCAAGGCTTGACTCTTCCCCTTCGCTGCTGGCACTCGAGGGTAGCATCCCCGAGTCTTGACATCCCGGTGGACCGCCACCGTCTGCAGCCACATCACCCGCAACGCCCGCCAATAACGAGCGGCTGCTGAGCGTCACAGCGCCCCTCCCCCCTCCACCGTCCTCACGCGGCGGGCGGGCCCCACCTGTGTGGAGACGGCGTGTCGGTAGTCGGTGTAGGCCTTCTGCACGCGCGCGATGGCGAAGTCCGGCTTCAGTGTGACGGCCTTCTCGAAGTCGGCCATGGCCTGGTCCACCATCTCCATCAGCAGGTTGATCTGAGGTCGGGGCGCGGCGTCAGGCCGGGACAGAGGCGGTCACTGCCGGCGCCGCCGCCGACGATCGCAAGCCCGGACTCACGTCACACACAGAGATACGCGAGATGTGCGCGATGCGACAGGTCCGGCTCCTACAGAAACAGCCCACTCCAGCGACTCTTGACCGCCTTCGGGCACCGGGGCAAAGAGCGCGCCCCCCTGATCTCTAAGAGCATAAGACATAACACTATGTGATAGGTTCGGTGCTTCTCCTGGAACATGTGCAGCGGTCATGTGCGGGTTCCGATAATCGTAAGAATCGAAAGACTGCCTTGTATCCACGGCCGTGCTCTGATAACGCTCAGAAAGAACGTACCACCCAAATTATTCACGGGGTTCTGTGCATCTGATCCACACGATGTTCATCACGATGAACACAAACTCCACGATCGTCCCTGACATTGCATCCAGGATCGCACCACAATGAACTAGCGCCGGTCTCAGACGAGCGCCTTCGCCACACTTTGCACAGCAGTTGCCGCCCAGCACAGCGAAGGGCGGCACGACCCACGTGACACGATACCGAGTCTAGCTCGCGAGCGCAAATCCCGGAGCCAGTGCCCGATCCCTGGATACGGGAATCTCAAAAAACGCAACGTCGAGAGCACACCGAAGCAGCGTGCGGCGCGCAAACTGCCGAGTTGTGGGCTGTCACAGTGCTGGTGAGTGGGCACGGTGCTTAGTGAGTATGAGCTACGGATAGCGAGTGAGCCAAGCAGAACTGCCGGCGCATGAGCTGATGTTTTCACGCCTATGATAATTTTTTCACAAAGACTGCATTCAGTGGCATCCACAAGAAACATCCAGTGTTTCCCACAGTGGGATTGTGGCATCGGAAAAACACGGATACTGGAATCACAGCCGATCGCACTGTCCAGCCTCCGGGACCAGCATCGCTCGCCTTCACAGACATGCCTACTGTGGCGGACCGAAAAGCGACAGCTTCGCCGGACCGTGACGCCACCAGCGCCGCCGGACCATGACGCCACCAGCGCCGCCGGACCATGACGCCACCAGCGCCGCCGGACCGTGACGCCACCAGCGCCGCCGGACCGTGACGCCACCAGCGGCGCCGGACCAGCGCCGCCGGACCATGACGCCACCAGCGCCGCCGGACCGTGACGCCACTAGCGCCGTCGGACCGTGACGCCACCAGCGCCGTCGGACCGTGACGCCACCAGCGGCGCCGGACCAGCGGCGCCGGACCGTGACGCCACCAGCGCCGCCGGACCATGACGCCACCAGAGCCGCCAGCAGCCGGGCCCAGCGTGGCGCGCGGCGTTGATGGCGCCTAATGGCCGGCTGGCCTTTCAGAGCTCCCACCGGCGACCGGTCCCAGCCGTTCGCTACGAGGTTGGGCATGCCATACACATGGTCACGCCCAGTGTAGTCGTGTGGAAGGTTCAATGCACGGTGTGCAGCGCAATGCGGTTTGACAAATTGTTCGCCACACAGAGCTTAACATATTGCGCTCCCCACCGGTCTGCTCAGACAAACAGAGAACATTCAGTACATAGTCGGTCAACGGGACAGTATAAGGTCATCATACCATGCCCAGCGGACCGAACGGACAACCACCCCATCAGTCAGCCAATGGCTTCTGCGCAGCGGCGGTCGGCGTGGGACGCCACAGGTGCGCCCGCCGCCTGGCCAGACTCGAAGACATACGTCACGTGGGACAGTTCAGCGTGAATACTTAATGAGGCCAACAATGCGCATGCCATTTCGACGACGCCGCGTTCCTTACAGCTGCGGCAGGCACAATCACTGCTTCACAAACCGCTGTTGTCAGCCAAACTCAACCACGACCACCCATCAGGTTAATGGCCCGGCATTCGCTCGACTCCCCACCGCACCGCCGAGTTCCGGCAGTGGCTCGGTGGCCCTCGCAGTTGGCGCCCGGTCGCTGAAGGGCTCGCGGGGCTCGCCAGCCAGAGCCGCCCTTCCTACACAAGTGCGAGGATACCGGCGCAGGCAGCGGCGGCCACCCGACCGAGCTCGCGCCCACCACCCCAGCTGGACGACACGCTCTGACGAGCACAGATCGAGTCGGACAGCGAGGACCACAACAGGTCGGACCGGAGCAGAGTGGAACACAGCAGAACAGGACAGGGCAGCGCAGGGCAGGGCGGGGCAGGGCACAGCAGGGTCGGGTGGAGCGGACCAGCCGCGGCGGGGCGGAGGATAATGTCGGTGCCGAGCCGTCGCTGGGCGTTGATCTGGGCGGCGCTGGTGCTGGCTGCTGGCACGCGGCCGGAGCCGGTGCAGCTGTATGGCCGCCGCTGGCCGGGCGTGGAGCCGCTGACCGAGCCGAGCGCACGCCACGCCGCCGCCCACGCACTGTCCTGCCTGTACCGCTGCCTGAGGGCGCCAATCGGCACGTGTCAGGCGCTGCACCAGGCGGGAGGCGTCTGCCGACTGTACGACCGCGACGCCTGCGAGCAGGGCGGCGGCGGGCTGCGCCAGGGCCCGACTGACGGCCACTACCTGACGCTGGGGCCGGCGCCCGGGCCGCACGAGCAGCGAATCTGCTCCGAGGCTGGCCCCTGCGACGCGCTGTGCCCGGCAGCTGGAGGCGCCGGCACCACGGAGCCGGCCGGCTCGTCGGAGGCCGGTGCGGCCGGCAGCACCGCCGTCTGGTCGCTGATGGGTCACGACGTGCCCACGCCGGCGGACGTGTGGACCGACGGCAGCCCTGCCGGCGCCGTGTGGAAGCAGCTGACGGAGCAGCAGTGCTCTTTGCAGTTCGAGGCGACAGTCGCGTCGCCCGGCACGCTCAGCTTGCAGGCGGCCGTCCGAGCGGACGCCACGACCGTCAAGTACGAGTTCCAGCTGCTCACCGCCGAGAGCCGGATCTTGGAAACGGCCAGCGACAGCCCGTCCAACACGACAGTTACCGGCGCACTCCTGTTCCGGCCGCCGGCGCTGTCGCGTTTCCAGGTCGGCTGGTGCCAAGGCGGCCTGCACATCCTCGGCTGGCTGGACGGCTCGTCGAGCCAGTGGCCGCTGGGCAGCCTCGAAGTGCCCGCGCCGGCCGTGCTGGAGTTCGTGCGACTCAGCTCCACACACAACAGCGTCGGCCTCTGGCGGCTGGGCGCGGGCCTGGCCGATCCCTGGATGACCACGACGGACGGCTGGTCGGCCGCGCGGCCGTACACCGCGCCGGCCGACAGCGTCCTCTGGCGTCGCGTCCCCGCCAACGCCACGCTGCAGGTTAGCTTCCTCTGCAAGGGCGCCGGCGGCTGCCAAGTCCACCTCAAGGAGACGATGCGACCGACGCCGGCAGTGCGCGTGCTGATCGGCCGAGAGAGTTCTCAGGTCTTTCAGGTCAGTACCACCGGCGTGCTCGAGCTCACGGAGTGGACGGAGGGTGGCGTGCAGGAGTACCAGTTCCAGTCCTACTCCGTCATCTACTCGACAGACAAAGTCGACGTTGTCTCCTATGGCCCGTCGGGAGATTCTTCGTACATCCTGAGGCAGGCCCTGCTCACCACGAGCGGCTACCGGCCACTGCAGACCGTCCAGTATGTCGGCCTGGGCGGCGGCGGCGGCAAGCCCGCCCACTTCCGCGTGTTCGAGCGCGACCCCGCCTGGGGCCAGGAGAACGGCTACATGGCCGGCGTGGGGCTCGTCTCGCCGGCCGAGGCCGAGGCCCTCCTCAGCCCCGGCCGGAAGTAGGGCCGCGGTGGGGCGACCGCCCGCGGCAAACGAGAAGCTCGACCGCCGGTGGTGGGTGACGAGGAGCTCGACCGCCCGCGGTGAACGAGAAGGCCGACCGCCCGCGGTGTGCTCACACCATCCGTGTGTGTATGTTGAGATCTATCTCGTAAAAAGATAGTTTCTTGGAAGCTTTTTCACTGATTGCGTTATAGTTTCATGCACCTTTTTGAGTGAGTACGCATATTCCTTTCGGATTAACACACACAGTGTTCGGTAGAAACAGTCCTTTTCGGTAATCCGAAATCTGTGGCACCTGTAATGCCGACACGGGATCCGCGCGCACGAAACATCGCTCCATGACGTTTGAGAAGCGCGGCTAGTCGACCACGTAGTTTGCGACCGAGCTGTGTGTTCACGTGTTGACTAAGTGGTACGACCTCCACTAGGAGACTATGAACCACGAAGGTCCAGCTGATACGGCACCCGATGCCCGCCTCAGTCCTGTGCCGTTCTCTTCGGATTCGGCTCGTGTGAGGGCTTCTTTCACCCAGAGTGTATGCAATACTTAAACAAAATGATTGCATCCTCATTCCGGTTGAGCCAGTGTGTAAGGCCATCTGATACGTGATCAGCCCACAGATTGATTACACACATGTTCTTTCGCTGAGATCGATTGCATAAAACATAGCATAAAAAGAACACAAATGCCTGGAGCTGGGCCACCATCAGCACGGTAGTGTTGTACGAGCCATACAGGCGAACTACATTAGCTACAGCTGCTTCATGCATGCATCAAAACGCATTCAAACTTACACAGGCTTTCAAACACAGCCTTTCGTTTGTGTCAGGTTCTAAAAACCAATGCACCTTTCGTCACACACAAAAAAAACGTAACGAAATATCGAAGTGCCAGTCATTCCACCTGCTAGAGACCCATTAATTCTTACCTCCCGCTTCAATAGTCACTTCAAAATCACTCATGTTTCGGACGCATCTGCGGTGACACGACTACAATAGTCGTGTCACCACAAATGCACAGGACCCGACCGGAAGCGTCCGCAGCCGACAGGCCCCGCCGCCGCCACCCGGTGCCCACCTGGCCGCGGTGGTGGTAGATGTCCGAGTTGGTCTCGTCCGCCTCAATGGCACGCTTGAAGTCGGCCACGCTGGTCTCGGGCGAGTCCAGCTGCAGATGGATCGAGCCGCGCTTGATCAGCGCGTTCACGCGCAGCTGAGAACAGAGCGGACGTCGGCGTCAGTCGGGGGTGGCGGAGCGGCGCGGCAGGGAGTGGGCTGGGACGCCCAGCGCGACGCGATCCCATGCGGAGAGGGGCTGATCCGGCCTACGCTGAAGGCAGTCAGCGGCGAGTGTGCGCTTCATCCGACCCCGTACAGGCCGGCAAAGGGACGACCGGCCGGAGTGACGGCTCGCCACCCTCCCGGCACGATTTTGAGCGGACGGCGTCGCCTGCGAGCTCCCGCCACACCGTCACACCCACCGCACGGTACGGAGGACGCCGGCAGCCGCGACATGGGCTGCACGCGACCCACACCGGCGCCGAGACAGCGGCCACCACGGGACAAGGGGAGGGGGTCACTGACGCTCACGTCCGGGACGACACGGCGGGGACGGTGGCGGCGGTAGTCAGACCGGCCCGACGCGGCTCTCCGGCCGGTCTGGCTTCACGGGACAAGGGGAGGGGGTCACTGACGCTCACGTCCGGGACGACACGGCGGGGATGGTGGCGCCGGTAGTCAGACCGGCCCGACGCGGCTCTCCGGCCGGTCTGGCTTCACGGAACAAGGGGAGGGGGTCACTGATGCTCACGTCCGGGACGACACGGCGGGGATGGTGGCGCCGGTAGTCAGACCGGTCCGACGCGGCTCTCCAGCCGGCCTGGCTCCACAGAACAAGGGGAGGGGGTCACTGATGCTCACGTCCGGGAAGACACGGCGGGGATGGTGGCGCCGGTAGTCAGACCGGCCCGACGCGGCTCTCCGGCCGGCCCGACTCCAGCTGACGCGGCGACGCTTCGGCATCGCCTCAAGAAGTGCCCGACCGCGGCGTCCGTTCAAACTAGCCCCTCGCCGCCACCGGACGGGCGCGGCGACGTCGGCTCACCACCGCCCGGGCCGACGGCACGGGGTGCGACGACGGCCGCCGCACGAGCGGCCGCCGCCGCCGCCGTCGCGCACCTTGACCGAGGAGGCATTGTCCTCGATGACGGTCGAGTAGTCGTCCTTGGCGGCGGCGTTCTGGCCAGTCAGCTGATGCATGGTACCGCGCAGGAGCGTGGCCTGCAGCCGGTGCGGCCCGGCCGCCTGCACCTCCTCCGAGCAGGCCGGCACCACGTCCTCGTAGCTGGAGGTGCGCATGGCGTGGCACGCCCGGGCCCAGCCCCTGCGGCGCCGGCAGACGTCACGGCTGAGCTCCACCGAGGCGAGGCGAGCGCCACAACGGCACTGCGGGGGTCGGGAATGTAGAATGGAAGGCGTTTCCCGGTGAACACCGAGCAACACGCTGGCTATGGCTGGATAGTGCAGCTGGCTGGCTACGTACGTAACACACTATCACAAAAAATCACCCCAGCACGTGGCTGGTGGGCTGCGAAAAATATGTGGTGCGCATTTTGCACCATGTGTTGGTCGCACCACGACAAACAACTCGCAATGCCAATGCTCCACGGGACATTTCGAATATTGAAAGAATCCGCGTGCGAAGCCTGGCTGTTAATGAACACACAGTGGTATATAACTAGAGCTGGAGACCAGCCCAGACCGTCCTAAGTAAAACGTAACTAAGGGGACATGCAAGCATCATAAAATTACAACACCCACGGTTCTTAAATGGGGCTGTGACATTAGTGCAGCTTTTAAGACCTGCAACACGATAGATATCTCTTAATCCACCCTACCATGATGACAGTAGCTAACATAACCAATACCCAGCCATCCCAACCCACTGCACCCGCCGGCCAGGCGCCGTCGCCGGCCGGGTCAGCGCCCTGCCCTATGACCTGACCTGAGCTCGCCGTCGGCCGGCGCCGCGTCGGCGTCCTTGCGCCAGCAGTCGGCCAGCGGATCCTCGGCGAACGACGAGAGGAAGGTCTGCACGAAGTGCTTGGACGGCATGACCGGCTCGCGGCTTTTCAGCGCCTGCTGCGCGTGCTGCTTGCCTGTGGGCAGGGGTTCGACGTCAGTCCGGTGCCGATTGGTGCGTCACATGGCAAGGCGACACCCCTTACTGGTGGCACTCACATGAGTCGCTGGCACAATCCGTCAGGGTGTTTACGGGAGGCGGAGCGAAGTGATGTGTGGGTGAATGATTAGCAATGTGTGCAACTTACAGCCCTGCTCTTCGTAAGACACACATCCCTCCAAATCCCGAGATTCCATTGCCCATGCAGCGATCAAGGCCAAAACACAGATTTTCGAGCCGTTCATATCTGGCGTTCGTGAGCACGATTTCAAGATATAACGGCCGTCCAATGGCTGTCAATCAATGTTGTGCAAGGCACGACGACGCAATCAAACCATGACATATTGCGGAGCACATTTACTGAACAGAGAAATTGGGTTGTCTAGACCAGTCTTTTCCACTTGAAGGCATATAAAGTCATAAGTGAGCTTGTTTCATCATATCTGATATGCAACATTTAGTTCAACTATAGTCCCCATGCTCCATCCCTCAATAGACTTGGAGCATCCCACTGGCGTGTGCCACGTGCACAGGGCGACGCAGATCGCCCGGAACGCTGTGGTGGAAGATGAGGGAGCACACTGCCAAGCACAGCGCACTACATGGGCGGCCACGAAGTGCATACAGAGCAACCTTTCCAACACAAAACAACTGTGAATACATCAGGCAGACCATTCAAAGCAACCTTCAACCAGCACCATGTGAAACATGACCTGCTTCCCCCTCCCCCCAGCCCCACACCACCCACCGAGCTCCTTAAGCACACGGTCGGCCATCATGAGCGACTGCTGGTTCTGGAAACCCTCCAGGATGCAGACGGCGGTGACGTCACGCAGCGCCTGCCGCAGCTGGCCGAGCGTCTCGCAGGCCTTGGCGCGGCGGTGCAGCGCCTTGGCGTAGCGCGGGTTCAGCGTCAGCGCTTGGTCGCAGTCGCGCCGCGCCGAAGCCGCGTCCTTCTGCAGGGGCACGTGATGGGGGGTGGGTCAGGCCCACACAGGTGATGGGGGGGCGGGTCAGACCCAAATGTGAGCCCCATCGAGGGCTGGATGCAGGCCAGTTGGCAGGCAGGCAGCAGGTCACGTTTCAAGCAGGGACGAGCTTGCAGAGGGGCAAAGGAGGGGGTCTGTATCAAAGAGGTACATGTATGAGGAGGATAAGAAGTAGTTAGGTGGTCTGTAGTTGCTCAATAGCAAATAAAACAGAGCAATTAAAAATTCATTAGCTTAAACATGCAAGATGTACAGATGCTGCTGAATGCATATCAAATCTGTCTGCTTGGATTTGATGGCAAACCATATAACTATATAACTTAAACAATTACTTTAAACCACTACAAGCATTTTCCTGAGGCTGTCATTGAATTCACCCCACACTACATGAAACCTTGTTATGCCTCTTCACTTCTTCATGTCTCCTCACCAGGTGCTCATGAGTGGCAGCACGATTCTGGTAGAAGGTGGCCAGGTCTTGGGTCTCTTCGGGTGGGCAGAGCTCAATGGCCATGTTATAGCAAAGTATGGCATCATTGTACTGCTGGGCTTTGAAGTATTTGTTGCCCTTATTCTTTGCTGCCTGTGCTTTCTGGAGTGGTGTCTAAAACATAGCAACACATGTGTGAACAGCTCTATTCAATAATATCTTAACATTCCATCACTAGCCTATGGGCAGGAAACCTTAAAGGCAATATTACAAAACCAAATAATCTGAGACCATACAGATCTTGTGCACATCACCAAACCTTAACAAAATGCATGATGAGGGAAGCAGGCACTGGAGGAACTGGGCCATATTGTGCAATATATTGTATAGTACTTGGAAGGCAGAACTAATATTAACATCACAAATTTGAAAACAAGTTTCATGTATTCAACTATTTCAAATCATAAACAGGCCAGCATATGGAGTAAAAGGAAGCAGAGCATACTTTAAAAAATGATTCTGAAAACCCACAACTATTTGGGCTGTATAGGCATTGCACTACCTTTACAATAAAATGACACTTTCTTTTGGCTTGGAACTGGAAATGCAAATCTTGTCTGGTTTGAAGCTTTGTACAGAGTATGGCAGCACCTCTACCTATCACCCTTGGATCATTCTCCTCTGTCTGGGCATCAGGTGCCAATGTACTTGGATTTTGAGGCATATCCCTTTCCTAGGTTTGTAGGTTGGAGAACACTGTACCTGGGCTCTGGGCCACCTATCTCTTTATCACTGGACATTATTCTGTCTGAGGTTAGGGGTGCTCCATGCCTTTAGTTATTACTATTCACAAAACTGGGAATACCACACTCCCTGCCATCCTAAACTCCAGCCTCAACCTCAGCAGGTACTGTCTGATCTGAATAATTGTACCCTATGCACAGTATTCTTAAGAGAGTTACAAAGCTTATGAAATCATTGGAAGTTTGCATACAACACCAAAGTGACAACTTAATCTGCATTGGCTAAGTGATGCCCCTTCAGCCATACTCAGGGGCACCACTCTACTTGACCTCAGTAATATCATCGTCCAATGTTCTTGCGATAGGTGTCCCCAATAGGCCAGCATGCTAAACTAATTTGGCCAGGATTCAACCACCCCATAGCATCTTGCTGGCATATTCGCTGTACTTTGCACACTGGCACATTAGTACACAACATGGGCATTGTAAGAATGTCCACAACAGTGGTATGCTAATTTTAAAGCCAACAATTTCATAGATCACCACACTGTCAATTCCATGTGATCTTGCATGTTGGATGTTGTTACTCTGCACACCTCCCCTAATCTGACAGCCATGCCATGAACCATCAGAAGGTACTGTCCATTCTGAATAAATGTGCCTTATGCACAATACTTCTAAGAGAGCTCCTAAGCTTATGTTGTCATAAGTTTACATGCAGCACTGCAGTGACAGTCACAGCATCAAAATGGACAGCCCTACTTAACTGGCATACCTATCTTTTGTATCAACATACTTGTTATCCACACCATACTGTGCGAGACCAAACTGTCAATTCATGCCTGCAAAACCTACAAACGGACACGATTAAGAACCATGTAATACAAAAGCTTTATCTGGATTAAAAAATGTGCGTCTTAACTCTAAAGTTGATAACAAAACAAATTAAAGGCCAGCATTCACCTCCGGTGCTGGCGGCGTGGGCTTAGCGGCGTTTGCGGCGCTGTCGTCGCTTGCGGTTTTTGGCCCTTGCTTGGTCTCCGAGGGCTTCTGTGCATCTTCCTTCTCCGCTTTAGATCTTCTGTACACATAGTATCCGAAACCCAATGCAACTGGCGTCCCCACCGCTAACGCAATTTGCCATTTTGGGATGGAGCCCCCATCCGCGGCAACACCACTGGAGGCCGCCATCTTTAGAGGAAAAGAATCGGGCGACTAAATATGAGAAAAACTTGGTGGTGAGATCTGATGGTCTAGTCCAACATCAACGATTCCGAAAAAGGTGTGATTTGCAAGTTCTTGAAGACATCTTTTGGCCCATATGATGCAACACTATAGCATTGACAGAAAAGGAAAGGGGTGTTTTGTGCTCACTTGGTAAAGCATACTTGGGTTTTTGGTTCCAAGCTCCGGTAATAAGTGGGCAGCGTAAGCTGTTGGTTTCAGGACCAGTAACCATGCCGGTGGATCAGCTCATCTCCTGAACTTTTTCAGCTCCCTCCATCAGTCTGCATTTCAGCATCCTTTCTTCTCGCTATCTATTATATTCGTTTTATCGGGCCATATCAACCGTCAACCCTTATCTGATTGGATTGTGGTGCCTGACCGGGAAAACGCGATGCGATGGAATTGGGCGCTTTGCGATAGTCATGCGTCACTGGACTAGTTGGGCGCGCGAAGATCGCTCTGGGCTTAACATAAAAGACAGGAAACTTAGAAGCTAGTTTCGGAAATGGGCACACGCGTTGTGCTATTTATGTATCATTATACGTGTATTTTCTAAATGTTTGACTTGTTTATCTGTCTGTCGCATTTGCCTGCCAATCTTTTTTAAATGATGCATATATTGTGTGACATCAAGGCATTTCAGGAGTCAAAATAGATGCAAAATGACTTCTTGACAGCAGTTTAGTATTTTCTTGTTGTTCTATTTGGCGCAGTTGGGCGTAGCTCATCAAACAAGACCAGACTTGTAAACAAGACGGAGCCGGGGTAGTTTGTTGTGGCGTTGTTGATCGGGGAATAGCCCCGTTGCTGCGTGTGTATCCACGGGTGTTTTACCGGTGGAAACCCTGTAAGTTGTGTCAGATACGGAGCTGCTGTTTACTTGTGTGTTCTCGAAGTTCATCGCTTGTTAAGGAGATTCTGGTCAGTGCCTGGGCCGTCGGATTGCTTGGAAAGGGAGCGTCAAACCCGTGTTTGAAGTTTCTCTTGGCCATCCTTAGCATTGGTGTAAATGTTCACTTCCATAAGCTTGTTGGCTCTCTTGCCAAGTGCCACCCCGCCCATTGACTATGTTGCCTTGATTAACATCCCAGCTCATTTTCACTCCTTGCTATTATTCCAGGTTCCCTCTTGCTTGTGTAAAACTCCAGAGTGACAATGCTGAATTAGTGATCAGGTGTCTGGTTGCCAAATATGTACTGCACCTGAAATATTTAATGATGCTGTTCTATTTTTCTAGGAGCATATCCAGTTTGCAAGCTCAGGACCATCTTGATAAACACAAATAGGTGTTGAAATGACAGAACAAGGTGTCAATGGTATGATGGCTTACTTGGAAAGACAAGATGCTGATGAAGATAAAATCAAAATACCATATGGGGTTACATCAGTTGGGAGAGGGCCATTTCTTAAGGTATGAAATGATAGCAAGCTGTGGTGTAAACAATGTGATAATTTGAAAGTGGCATGTTGTGCAGCATCTAGCTGCCTTGTGTTGTTTAAGTGAAAATGATCCTATAACTAAAAGTGCTGTAGGGAGGGTTTATTTTTCCATTGCAATTCAAAACATTTCAGTAGCTGCATATAGCTGTGGTTGATGTGTTTGTGTTGCATATTTTGTTTGTGTGCCCCATCTGCATTTTAGAAGCCAACTTGCTTAAATTGTGTACCAGAGACCAAATAGAGAAGCTATATGGGTGCATGGCATTTGTAATTCATGGCAAAAATGTGGTAATGTAATGGGACCACAATTTTATTTTTTCTCAGCCATAAATACATTATTCAGGTGTAAAAGTACCAGGTCTTCAAAAAGTGTGTTTTGCAGTGCAAAGAAAAGAAAGTGTCAAGAAACCATGGCCTCTTGGAGCTGTCACCAAATGGACAGATTTTCATTACATCAGTAAGTATATGCTAAGTTACTGGTGTGGGTGTACTTTCCTACCTAATGTTAGAAAAAATCATCGCACACCATTTGTCATGTTTAAGGCGGCACATATCGTAAATAATCTCAAAACAGGTAGAATCATGCTCCTACCTTCAAATTTCAATAACTACCATGGCGAGCTCCCAAGCGCCGCGTGCACCGCGCTGCCTGGACTCCCCAGCGCCGTTTCTGCGTTGCCAGTTGCGTAAATACAATATTTCTCCTTACCTAGAACTATACAAAATGTACGGGACCAAGGTAAACCACTCATCATGTTTAACGCGGAACATATCGTAAATAATCTCAAAACAGGTAGAATCATGCTCCTACCCTCGAATTTTAATAAATACGATAGCGAGCTCCCGAGCGCGGGCACCGCACCGCACCGCCTCGACTCCCAAGCGCCGCTTCTGCGTTGTTGCGTAAGTACAATATTTCTGCTTATCAAGAACCATACAAAATGGACGGGACCAAGGTAACAACAATAAAGCAATCAAAATCGTTTCTTATCGCGTTTAGGTACGTTCATGAAACACACAGGCCAGAATAGTCCAGAACATATCCTAAACTAGCCTAACCTAACCTAACCTAACCTAATCTAACCTAACCTAACCCAAACTAACCGAACCTAACTTAACCTAACCTGACCTAACCTAACCTAACCAAGAATAGACCAGAACCTAAGCTAAGCTAAGCTAAGCTAAGCTAACCTTACCTAACCCAACCTAACCTGACCTAACTAACCTAACCTAGCCTAACCTAACCTAACCTAACCTAACCTAACCTAACCTAACTTAACCTAACTTAACCTAACCTAACCTAACCCAACCCAACCTATCCTCCCCACCCTATATCCCCTTCAACCCAGCATCCCATTGGTGTCCATGTTCCGTGCCATATATAGTTACCGTATAGTGAGCTTTTATTCAGCCGCCATGTTCTCATTTTGCTTGACACTCCCCACCCAATCCCCTAATGGCGCCGGTGTCGCGGCTGCTGTGTGTCGGCGCTCAGGAGCTCGCCATCGTAATTGCAAAAAATTCGAAGGTAAGAGCATGAATCTACCTGTTTTGCGATTATTTACGATATGACCTGCCTTGAACACGACGAATGGTGTACAATGATTTTTTCTAACGTTAGGTAGGAAAGTACACCCTGACCAAGTTACTGTTTACCCACAAATGTTTGCTGTTATTCTTCCTAAATATCAAATTTGGCACAGGACTGTTCAACATTACTCCCTCCTTATAGAGCGGTAGTAATGCCAACTCATTTTGGAGCAGTGCTATACTAGGTGCAGATCCTGATTCAGCACAACCTGACCCTTGCCAAGACTCATCATAAACATCACTTGCATCACATTTTTCCAGATCCACAGTACGCCGCTGTTTGTGAGGGCAGGTGCTGCAGAAAAGCCCCGCCCCCTCATTCAGAACCAGCGCGAGCAGCTGCACCCAGGCGACGAGTTTTGCCTTCTGTTGGATGCCTTCTGCTACAAACTGTGCCAGCCAGCTGGAGCCGCCGGCACTGCCGCCGATGATGGCCAGGCAGCCGAGCAGGCCCAGGCGGCCGCGAGCACGCCTGCCATCGACACCGGCGGCCCGGCGCACGCGGACGGCGGCGGCGAGGCCCCGCTCCCGCGCACGGCCGACCGTGCCGGTGCGGCCGCGGTGGAGGCTCCCGCCGCCGCCACAGCCGCGGAGGAGGCTCCCGCCGCCGCCACAGCCGCCGCCTCCAGCGTGGCCCCTGGAGCCACAGCCTCCGACGGCGTGTCCTCGGGCGGCGCCCCTGGCCGGCAGAGTGCGGCGGCGGCGGCGCCGTCTGTCAATGGTAGCGGTGTGGCGCCGAGCTTGTCCGACCCGGCAGCAAAGCAGGCGCCGGCAGTGGAGGAGGACACGAAGCAGGTGTGCCATTCCGCTGTTTCATGGCTTTCATGAAGTTCATCAGCTGATGTAATGCAGGGTTGTTCCAAATGCTTGTAAGATTTTGGAAGAGACAGTTATCACAGACATGCTTCAAGAAGAGGTGCTTGCAAAGTGCAATCCTGTTGTCATGTTGCTGTAGATTGCATTGATTCCCCCTGCCAATGTGGATGTTAGCACACTTTGTGAGATATCTTTGTTATGTTGATATGGCTGCACGCTTCTCACACCAGCGGTGTTACAGGCATATGGTGCTACTTTTAGTTAATCCAATCGCCAGTGAGGGCGTCATTCTAGGCTCGTCATTGATTTGCCTGCCCTGTGACTCAGGTCGCAACGAACGGCGTGACTCGGCAGTTCCGTAAGCTGCCCGCCTGGTTGCTGAAGTCAAGCGCCGAGCCCGCGGCCGACGCCTCGGGCGGCAGCAGCCGTAAACGCCCGGCCCCGAGCGGCGCCGGCAGTGGCTCTAGCGGCGAGAAGAAGAAGCGAGCGGCCGCGGGCGGTGCCGCCTCGCCGCGGGGCAAGAAGCAGCAGGCCCGCGCGCGGCCCGCCGGGCGCCGCCAGCTCTCGATGTCCGACTCGGACGACGAGGGCCTGTCCTCCATCGTTGGCCGCGTCGGAGGTGACGGGCTGGGTGAGGCGGGAGGCCCCGCCCCGCCGAAGTCGGCAACCGCGAGCCCGGCACGTGCTGGCCAGCCGCCGTCGCCGCGGCCGCTGCCCGCCGATCCCCCGGCGGCGGGCGTAGAGTCCGCCGCGCTCGACACTAGCGCCTCCGGCGCCGCGGCGGCAACTTCGAGCACAACGCCGCGCCGGAAGGTGGCAGTGCACGGCGGTGCTCCTGCGCTGTCGGACGAGGAGAGCGAGGGATCGGGGCCGGCGACGGCGGCGGCCTCCTCCAGCCAGAGGGAAAGCTGCGGATTTGGTGCGCAGTGTTTCAGGTATGGTACCCTTCCAGAAATGGTCCATGTAGAACAGGAGGTCAGCAGCACTTTTGCCATGTTCCTTTTCTTGCCATTTTACTTTTTGACCTTTTGCAATCTTCAGTCAGCAGGTCGTGCAGAGTGCCTGACAGAGGTAACAGCTGGATGTTGACGCGCATATAAATCCACATTCCACGTTCCCGGCGTTCTCTCCCTGTGCTAAATGTAATACATCACCCCCACCACCCCATCATGTCCTGTTCTTGGGAGCTCTGTAACCCTCCCCTGTCCGCCCGCGCAGAAAGAACCCGGCCCACCGTGTGGAGCTGGCCCATCCGGGCGACGCCGACTACGCCGTGCCGCCGGACCCGGCCGCCGGCGGCTCGCTGCCTGAGTGCGAGTTCGGCCTCCGCTGCTACCGCAAGAACCCGCAGCACCGGCGCACGTTCGCGCACACGTCCCGCCCCAACCCCGGCCGAGAGGCCAAGCGCAAGGGTGAGCCGACCGGCCCGTGGGTCCTGGTGGAGTCGGGGAGACCAGTGGTCGAAATGTGCAGGACGTGTTCTGATTTCCTTTTGAACGGTGTTGTGGCCGGATCATCATGCCACCTTCGTGTGATGTATTTCTGTGAAGCGTAGTCGCCCCTTCGTCTGGTTGCTGACCCGTGCCCCGCGGCTGTTCGCGAGGGAGGTGTAAGACAGAGGATCAGGACGAGTAGGTCTGTCGGAGGCGGCGACTGGTCGTATTAAGTCCGTCCCGTGCGGCGGGACGGACTTAGGCTCCTGGCTCCCGGGCCTGACGCCGCCCTGCCCGGCCGCAGCTCGCCGCCTCGCCCAACAGCCGGCCGACACGCCCGACTCGTACGACCTGGACGACGAGTTCATCAACGACTCGGACTCGGACGACTACGCGCCGGACGAGTCGGGCTCCGACTGGTCGGCCGACGAGGGCTCGGGCTCCGACGACGACGACAGGCGCCGCCTGGCGCGCGAGGCCCGCCGCGTCACCGGCGGCGCCCGCTGACCGAGCCGCCCGGCGGCCGCGGCAGCTCGGTCGCGTGCCGGGGCAGCGCGCGGCGGCGCCTCTGGACGGCGCGGGACTGCGTGTGGAGCGTGGTGCGTTTGGCTGCGTGGCGAGGTGGAATGCGAAGCGTGAGAAGGAGGCGCGACGAGTGTTGGTCGGCCTGGAGTTTGCCACGCCCATCGGAAGGTGTATTTATTTTTGGGAGGGTTGGGGACTGCACCCCTCGGCTTTGAGTGAAAAGTGGTCCAAATTCGAGGAAAGATTCGTGTTTTACCTGCTTGGTCAGTTTGGCGGTACGCTCGACCATTTTGCCTGCCCAGCCCCCAAGTTATTTTGTGAAACTACACCCCCGCTCGGAACGCGTCGGGCGCTGGAGCAGGGCTGCCGATCTGGCGCTCACTTGTGGCGGGGTTGGGCGCCCGGCCGTCCCCAGCCGAGGTGACGGCCCGTAAGGCTGATGGGGGGGAGGAGAGGGGGGGGGGGCACTGCCGCCACATCGCCCGCCGAACAGGGGTCTGCGTGACGATTGTGGCGCGCTGACAACTGGCGCTGTTCACGAGCCCGCCGCGCGTCGGCGTTTTGAGCTGTGTCCCGCAGCGGATGGAGCTGAGCCCGGTCCCTGCCGCTGCTGGTGGGCCGTCTCCTCCAGCCGAGGTCGAGCGACAGCAGATGTGTTCGTGTCCGGAGACGGGTGTTTCGAGGCTGTTTTGGGGCCGTCACGCCGCGCCGTCTATGCGGATGATACCTGAGTCCAGTGCTAATGCATGCGTAGGTCCGATTTGCTGCCATTTTGAGTGGGTTAGGGATGTCTTTTGGCTGTCACCAGACGGTAGTAGTTGTCTGGCAAGCCATTTACATACTCGCTTAGGGTAATGCAGCTTTGAAGTACGAATGGGTAGTGAGCTTGTCCTGGCTGGCATCAGCAGAATGTGAAGTGTGATATGAATTGCGACGAGATTGTTGCGACCTGTACTGTTGCATAATTCTGCTCAGAGGAATGTCCCAAAATTTCGTGGGAAGTATGCCAACTATTAATTTTAGCAACACCCGTGTCGCACACGGTATCGTGTCGCGAAGCTTTGCTAAGATGAATTGGCTTAGAAATAGTCTACTAAGATTCTATGCTGTCTGTATTTTTATCACCGCGTGTTAGAATCAGCTACACGTTATTGTCATCTCTCGATCACTCGACCGTCGCACGTTCAGTGTCGTGGCTTGAAATCACGCGAAGTTCGCTGGGCGTTCCGTGGCGCCGTGTGGCTGGCAGATCAGTGGAGCCGTCAGACCTCACTGCGCGCATCAGCCGCTGAATCGGAGGTGCTCTCGTGTCATAGACCGCGTGTCATGGCAGCTGGCCGTGCGCGAGCCGCCCGGTGTTCGGGCGCCGTCTCCGGCACAGTGAGGGAGAGGGAGTGAGAGAGAGCGGCACAGCTGAGACTGAGATCTATTTCTTGTAACGCCGTGTCCGCCGCGGTCCGCGCCGCGCGCCCCGGGGACTCGGCTTGTCCCCGGAGACTCGGCTCGCCCGGACACGGCAGCGATACACCTGAATAAGAGCGGCTCACTCACGGCTGACGGCGGCGCGCGCGCACACGCGGGAGTATTTGCGCCGACGCGGCGCCGGCGAGGCTCGTCGCGCACGGCCCGGTCGCCATCAAGCCCGAGCCATCACGTCAGCACTCCCGGGTCATCTCACGCCGCCGTGCGCGGAGCAGACGTCCCGCCGGCAGGGCTGCTGGGGTCAGCAGTCGGCTCCTGCTGCGCGCTGGGTGCTCCGCCGCGTGCGAGGGTCCGCTTGGGAGCGGCGCCGGGGCGCTGCAGCCTTCCGTTGTCTCACGGCCCGCCCGCCCGGACGCGGCGGGCAGATGTGATTCGTCTCTAGTCGAACTCAGCGCCGTCGAAGAGTCCTGTGAATGGAAACGCTGTGGTGTCAGCTGACTAGTCGAGCAGTGTCGTTCACAAGTCGCGTGGGTTTTGTGTCGTGCATAGCTTTGACTAGCTGCCTCCACCGCGTGCCTACACATCGCTTGCGATGAGAATTTCGCAATAGCGACGCGTCTTGTTATTTTATTGCTATGGATGTGAAGTCCAGCGTGAATTACATTGTAAGAATACACATGAAACCAACGCTTTCATTTCGGACCAGCCATGACATCCCAGCACAGGATTTCACGTAGGATCGAATCCACGCTGGGAATCTGCTCGTTCCTTCCATGCAGTCTCGAAACATGGCGGTGGATCTACTCAGCATTGATGAAGTTGCCCACATAGCTGGGCTCATCGGGATCCCGCAAGTCTTCGGGTGCTTTGTAAAAACCTATTACGGCACTGGCGTTCAGTGAAAGGCCTGTGGTTGCGACTCCGCCGGTCCCACGTGGCCTTCTCGAGGATCTCGCCCTGGGCTGGAGCAGGGAAATCCACGCTACTGTTCAGTTCGGATGCGATTAAAGCCCCTTCAGCTGGCATGACCGTATCAAAGCTACCGGATGGGGAAGAGACGGGGGGGGGGGGGATGAGAGGCGCGGGTGATGGGGCACGACTGCGACCACCTGGGAGTCCGCCGCCGGTACCCACCCAGCACAGGCAGCCCCGCAAAATGACCCTAGAAGTCGACGCGCCCTAGAACCCAATCATCATCACCCTTCTGCGAGTTAGGTGCGCGCGCTAGGGACCCTTCGGCGGGTTAGGCGCGCGCGTTTGGGACTATGGCGGGTCAGGCTCGCGCGTTAGGCACCCTTCGGCGGGTCAGGCGCGCGCATTTGGGACCCTTCGGCGGGTTGGGTGCGCGCGTTAGGGACCCTTCGGCGGGTCAAGCGCGCGCGTTCGGACAGCAGTCCGCCAGGAGCCACTTGAGCCCGCTCGTGGCTGATGTCCGCGACGTACCCAGGAGAGGCCGTCTTCGCGGTGGTTCAGGATGAAGCGAATAATGGGGAAACAGGCTAGACGCACGCTACTGCACTGGTAGTACGCGACTCTCTTCATCACTGTTGCGGGTTGGTGTGCTTGCTTCCACTCAGCTAGTGGCTAGTTCTTCATGTATGGGCTTTCTAAAAGGTTGTTTTAATTGTCCTTTAAGGCTGCAACTTAAATTATCCTCTTGCAAACTATTTTTGTCCGCAACAGCAATGACCATGTTCTAGCCGTGACAAGTCGTTGTAATTTCTTAGCAAAAATCTTGCAGTTTCTTTTTCAAATAACAAATCTTGGGTATTTTGAAGAGCGTTCACCTCAATAATCTCTCTAACAGTTGAATTAACAAGTACCAGTTACTGAAGTGGGCACTCACGCCCACCAACTCCGAGTCCATCACAATTGTCTGGATTCGCTGCGCAAGTGGTTGCCTCAGGGACGGGACGAATTTTGGATCATTGCTGAACGGTCACCATAAAATTTGGCGCGCGCGTCGACAAAGGGGTCGTGTCCCCGATGAGAAAGCGGGCCAAATTCGGCCGTTTCCGACTGATTTACGCTTCTCGAACCTGTCGTTGGTCGGCAGGGTGTCGTGGCCCACGCGCTATCGCTATTACGTCTGGCCTTCCCTCTAATTCTGCATTGAAGCTGACCATCGTCTGACCTACCTGTGACCGTCTCCTCACAAATTTTGACATTTCACGACTCAGGCTTTCTTCCACTGACCTCCACTACCTGTGCCCGACCTCTGCAACCCGACCTACTATGACCCGCTCGACCTGAATCTTAACCTCGCCGTGCCCTAACCTGACCCCGCCCGGCTCTGACCTTGTGGGCCCCTGCCTTGTCGGCCGAGGGTGTCCTGCAGGTTGATGGCCAGCCCGCCGCTCGGCAGCAGACACAGCGACACGGGCACCGGGCCGCCGGGCGGCGGCGGTGGCGCGCGCTCCGAGAGCGGCGAGCCGGGCCGCCCGGCGGCCGGCGCCGCCAGCGCCACCAGCAGCAGACAGGCCAGCGTCGTCGTCCGCGTCATGCTCGTCTCGTCTGGCAGCGTCGCGGCCGCTCGCGGCTTTATACCCGGACGGGGCGGTGCCGGGCCGGCGCACCGCGCCGCGCCAGGCGCCGGCCCGCCGGCCGGCGGCTCGCTCTCCGAGGGGTGAACGCTGACCCCAGGGACCGCCGGGGTCAGAGTCAGGGCGGCGATCGAGGCGTGGGGATCCTCGGGGCGCTGCGGGGCGGCTACCAGAGGGCCTTTCGGGAGTGCGTCGAATAATTTGCCGAGGTCTTGTTAAGAGTTGAGCGTGGAGAGGTCTGCCAGAGAGTCCATGAGGAGGGGCCTGCCAGGGTGCTCGCCCGCGGATGGAATGACAGCGATGCCAGATCCTCCCATAGAGAGTCTGCCAGACATGAGAACAGAGTGTGGGGGTATCGACGAGTCCAGAGGGACATTCAGAAAGTTCAGATGAGGTTTCCTTACCAGGGAGCCGCCAATGAGTCCGCCTGGAACTGTGCGCGCAGCGTCGGCCCGAGGCTAGAGTGTCAGCGAGATTACCCGGGTGCCCTAACGCTTGCCTGCTGAAGGGTCCGTCTGAGGAGCTGTCAAAGCTTCGTCGAGCATCTTCTGCCGACCTGACAGTGGATTGGCGGCTGCATGCACCTGGTGATGGATCTTTCAGAAGGTCAATATGAAGGTCCTTCAGAACGCATGAACGTCAAATAATCATTCTGAGAGTGGATCTTCGACGCGCTGGTAAGATATTTCACCGGGCGGTGGAGCTGTCAGGGTCTTCCGGAGGTTCTCTTAAACGTCTGCTCTGCCTCGACTTAAAAGGCAATAGATGACGGGAGCATCAGTGTCTGCTGGCGCTGTTGGGTGGGCTTGACCATGCATGAGGCATCCAGAGGCGATATCGAAGTTGGGATGAAGGAGAGTTTATGCATACCAGAAGCTCTTCCGATAATTCTGCCCAAGGCTGGGCCTATCAGGGAATCTATCGAGGATGCGGAATGCTCGTGCTTCCTTAAGCTTAACTAGTGGCACAGTCCGATCAGCCCGTTGTTAAGAGCACGATAAGACAGACCCACCACAAACGCGGCAATCCATAAGCCAGAATGATAGCAGATTGCTGCTGGGATGCAACGCAATCAATCAGGAGTGGTGGATAAGTCTAACACGCCCTACAGTCGTGGCACGGAGAATATCAGTTTCCATTGTCATTGAACTGTAACTCAGCAGCAAACGAACTGTGAAGCGTGGTATTTACAGAGGCGCGACGCGTTCTAAACTGAAGTGCATCTTCCATCGGCATGTGAACAGCAAATATCGTGACTTAAAAAAGGCATCGCAGTTTAGAGAACTCTCCCATGCGAGAGTCGAAGGCACGGCCCCGTACCAACGTGTCGGATTGCTCCACGGTTGACCCTGTTTCAGAGTGCTCACATCCGCCAGCCTATCTCGACCAAAACCGTATTTCCGAGCCGATTTCGTTATTTTTCTTGCTGCCGCCTGGCATGGCCTCGAAACAATCGCCGGCTGATGTGA